CCCGCCACAACGCCCAGCTATTTTTTGGTTGCAGCCGTCATTGTTGTTTGGCAGGCTAGGGCTGGATTCGAACCCGCCACCTTAGGTGTATGTGGCTGGCACCTTAGCCGCTTGAGCCACAGGTGCTGAGCCAAGTAGTTGGCTTTTTAAGGAAATTCTTTTGTTTCTAGCATGAAGAAAGAAGACATAGAGTACTACTAAAAAAGAAAACTAACCTGGGCACCAGTGACTATTCTTGGCTAACTTTCAAAGTTGGGGTCCTGTTTATTTGGGGATTTAGATCCAGAGTTAAGAAATTCTGGACTGCAGATTCCTAGAATACAGATATCTAGTTTATAGACTTCATTTTCTATAGAAGTGTGAATGATCAAGTAGATCGGAGAAAGACAAAATGATAATTTTCCCATTTCAAGTTGCCAACCATCACAAAGGAATGAGCACACATTGGACACAGTGCCAGTCCTATTTTTAAGGTAATAAGTATATTAAACCCCCAAACAATTCAAGTTTTAAAGTCATTCAAACAACAAAAATGATCTAACTCATAAGAAGGATACAAGCTATGAAAGTGAAAATAGCAGCAAGATTTTGGCTATGCTAAATCAATTTTAAAAATAAACTTTAAAGTTTTCAGATTTTTTAAATTAATTACATAAAAAAAAAAATTTTGGAGACAGAGTCCTTTTTTTTTTTTGAGACAGAGTCTCACTATGTCACCCTCGGTAGAGTGCCCTAGCATCGCAGCTCACAGCAACCTGAAACTCTTGGGCTTAAGTGTTTCTCTTCCGTTAGCCTCCTAAGTAGGGACGTTGTGGGACTACAGGCACCTGCTATAATGCCCAGATATTTTTTGGTTGCAGTTGTCATTGTTGTTTAGCTGGCCTGGGCCAGGTTTGAACCCACCAGTCTCAGTATATGTGGCTAGTGCCGTAACCACTGTGCTATGGGCACCGAACCATGGGTCTTTTTTTTTTTTAATTGTTTGGGATTCATTGATGGTACAAAGAATTAGGCTATACTGATTGCATTTGTTAGGTAAATTCCCTCTTATAATTGTGTCCTGCCTGCAAGAGGTGTACCATACACTGTGACTCCCCCAACCCCCTCCCTCCACCCATCTCCCACTCCCTGGTTCCTCCACTATGTATTAGGCCATCTACTGCCTTCATATTAGAATTGAGTACATTGGATTCTTGCTTCTCCATTCTCGTGATGCTTTACTAAAAAGAATGCATTCCACCTCAACCCAGGTTAATACAAAAGATGTAAAGTCTCCATCTCTTTTAATGGATGAATAGTATTCCATGGAATACATATACCATGGTTTGTTAATCTATTCCTGGATTGGTGGGCATTTTCACATTTTGGAAATGATAGATTTTTTCCACGTTTTGGTGATTGTAAATTGAGCAACAATAAACAGTCTAGTGCAAATGTCCTTGTGATAAAAGGATTTTTTTTCTTTTCTTTGTAGATGCCCAGTAATGGGATTGCAGGATCAAATGAGAGGTCTAATTTGAGTTCTTTGAGGATTTTCCCTACTTCCTTCCAAAAAGGTTATATTAGTTTGAAGTCCCACCAGCAGTGTACAAGTGTTCCCTTCCCTCCACATCCACGCCAGAATCTGCAGCTTTGAAACTTTAAGATATGAGCCATTCATTCTCACTGGTTTAGGTGACATCTCAGTAATTTTCATTTGCTTTTCTCTGATTATTAGAGATGATGAGTATTTTTTCATATGTTTGTTAGCCATTTGTTTGTCTGTCTTTCTTTCTTTCTTTCTTTCTTTCTTTCTTTCTTTCTTTCTTTCTTTTTTGTATGACCCATGCAATATTTGGGTCATATTTATTTTTTTTTAATTTTTTTTCCTTTTTAACAGACACCAGGATCAATGATCACCAACTGCCCAGATACCAAAAAATTATACTTTTGAAATGTCTTGATGTCGCTTCCACATGAAGAGCAGTTGAGTTGCCCCACATGTGCTACTCACAACAGAAGCCCTCTTTGGGGGGACACATTTATTTTTTACACTAAAAAGTATTCATTGTTCATCTGAAATTCAAATTTAACTGGGAATCCTGGTTTTTTTTTTTTTATAGAGACCGAGTCTCACTTTGTCACCCTGGGTAGAGTGCTGTTGCGTCACAGCACACAGCAACCTCCAGCTCTTGGGCTTAGGTGATTCTCTTGCCTCAGCCTTCCCAGTAGCTGGGGCTACAAGTGCCCACCACAATGCCTGGCTATTTTTTTTTTGCAGTTTGGCCGGGGCAATGTTTGAACTTACCACCCTTGGTATACGGGGCCAGTGCCCTACCCACTGAACTGGGCATGAGCCGCCCTGGGCATCCTGTATTTTATCTGGCAACACCACCCTCCTCCAAAAAAAGAAAAAAATAAACTTTTTAGGTGTTTGTTCCATCTAATTGGCAATTTGTATGAGTTCACATATTATTCTGCACTATATTCTTTGCTCACACTTAGAAGGAACTATTAAAACTCTGCAAAAGTTTATGTCCTAGGCTTCTAATGTGACTCATAACTCAGCCCAAGTTTGAGACTAGTGAAAAGAGCTAGCTCATTGGATAAACGCCTGGACTTTAAATCTTGACTCCACCACTTACTTAGCTGTGTTAACTTCGAGTAAGTTGCTTAAAATCGCTGAGGCTTATTCTCATGAGACTTAAACAGAATTCTCAAGTACAAAATGGGGGGATGTTTACTTTAAGTATTGCTGTGAGATTTAAGCAAAGTAAACACAATGTCTGGCACATAGAAGCAATCTCTAAATGTACCTTCAAAGATGATACCGGGCAAGGTAATGGAGTTAGAGACGAGTGAATTGGAAACAGGAAGCAGTTTATAATCCTCTTCCTAATAACATCAATGATTCTGAGAAGACAGGAGGGCAAAGACTAGAGCAATGAGTCCAAGAAGCGGGACTCTGGCTAAAGGCAGACCTAGGGCTGGTCTAAAAAGACGACGCTCAAATAGAGAAAAACAGCAGGGAATAGAGGGCCAATGCTGTCCAGGGGCTGAGGGCTAACAGAGGTGACTCCGACCTGTCCACCTCTCCCAGCCCTGGGATGACTCAGGGAGTCCATCGGGTCTTTCCCTCTAGTATTGCCCATGAGCCCCCCACTCCCGCCAAGGATCACCTGTCTCGGAGCTTCATGCACCTGGGATGCAGTCTCGCCCCCATGGGCCCTCAGCTAGCTGCTCACCTAACCATAGTCCCATTTGTCTGTCTACTTCTTTTTTTTTTTTTTTTTTTGAGACACAGCCTCAAGCTGTCCCCCTGGGTAGAGTGCTGTGGCATTACAGCTCACAGCAACCTCCAACTCCTGGGCTCAAGCGAGTCTCCTGCCTCAGCCTCCCAAGTAGCTGAGACCACAGGCACCCGCCACAATGCCTGGCTATTTTTTGGTTGCAGCCGTCATTGTTGTTTTGGTGGGGCCGGGCTGGATTTGAATCCTCCACCTTTAGGTGTATATGGCAGGCACCTTAGCCACTTGAGCCACAGGCGCTGAGCCATGTCTGTCTTCTTTAGAGAAGGTTCTCTTCATGTGTTTCTCCCAGTGATAAATTATTGGCTCTTTTTTGTTGTTGTTGATTAATTTGAATTCTGTGTAAATCCTAGGTATCAAACTTTTGTCTAATTCATAATATGCAAATATCTTTTCCCATCCTGAAGGTATGAGACAGGGTCTTGATCTGTTGCTCTAGATGGAGTACAGTAGCATCATGTAGCATTATCATAGCTCACTCACTGCAGCCTCAGACTCCTGGGCTCAAGCAATCCTCTTGCCTCAGCCTCCTGAGTCGCTGGGACTATGTATATGTGTACCATCACATTCGGATGAGTTTTTAGATTTTTCTTTTTTTTTTTTTTTTGCAGTTTTTGGCTGGGGCTGGGTTTGAACTCACCACCTCCAGCATATGGGGCTGGTCCCTATACCTTTGAGCTACAGGTGCCGCCCTTTAGATTTTTCTACTATAGAACTATACAGGTCTTTCAATTCCAAGCTTTGATAATGTTAGGTAGATAGCTATGATTTCCAGCTTTTCTTAGGACAAGGGTACCTTGTCTTTTTTTTTTAATTTATTTTTTTAAATTTCAGATTAATATAAGGGTACAAACCATTAGATTATATAATTTACACAGGAAAGGTTAAAATCAGAATTGTAGCTGTGTTGTAGGCCCAGGGAGTGTGCCATATATCTATGGATTTTACCCACTAGGTGGGAAGCTACTGAACCTCCCTCCCCTCTTCTTGAATTAAGTGATATTTTCTTTCATGTGAGTTAGTGATTGTTAATCTCCTAGTTTTGAATTGGTATTGAGTACATGTAATATTTGTTTTATAATCTTATGATATTTTACTTAGGGAAATTTTCTATAAGTACATCCGGGTTGTTACAAAGGATGCAAAAATCTCCATCTTTTTCAGGGCTGAATAGTATTCCATGGTATACATGTACCACAGTTTATCAATCCATTCAGGTGTTCATCTAAATTTCTGCTGCACAGTCCTTTTTTAGGGCTGAATATGGTATACATGTACCACAGTTTATTGGAACAATTGGGTTGTTTCCACATCTTTGTGATCATGAACTGAGCACATGCCTAATAATGAGATTGCTGGATCAAATGAGTAGGTCTACTTTGAGGAGTCTGCATTCTTCTTTCCATAGAGGCTGTACTGGTTTGTAGTCCCACCAACAGTGCATGAGTGTTCCTTCCTCTGCACACTCAGACCAGCAACTGTTGCTTTGGGACCTTGTGTTTTTGGACCATTCTCACTGAGGCAAGGTGGTATCTTAAGGTGGTGGGGGTTTTGTTTGGGTTTTTTTTGAGGGGGGGGTTGAGACAGAGTCTCGCTATGTTGCCCTCAGTAGAGTGCCGTGGCATCACAGTTCATGGGACTACAGGTGACTGCCACAGCATCTGGCTATTTTTTGTTGCAGTTGTCTTTGTTGTTTAGCTGGCCTGGGCTGGGTTCGAACCCACCACCCTTGGTGTATGTGGCTGGTGCCATAACCCTGTGCTATGGGTGCCAAGCCACTCTCAAGGTGGTTTTGATGAGCATCTCTCTGTATAGGTCTTTCAACTCCTCTGTTTCACTTAAATATGTACTCAGGAATGTGTTCCCACAGTGAACACAGAAAACTTCCGGAGTCAAAAGTGTGATATTTTACATGTTAACTAAAAACTCAGACTGATTTTATTATTTTATTGAATTGAGTCACAGTATACAGAAGGATGACAAGAAAATTATGTCTCCATGTGAAAAAGGACTGTGTAGCAGCAATTTAGATGAACCAATTGCTCCTTCCATCCTCAGGAAGAAAAAGATATTAGGTGCCTTGCATTATGGTATGCTAAAAACCGAGCTCTTGGCATAATGTCCAGAATGAAAGCAGATGTGCCCTCTGTCCAATCCCGTCATTACTGACAAGTTCAAATAACACCCCATGTACATAGCTAATCATAGATATTAATTTGAATTTTTGAAGATTCAATATTAAATCTGAAAGGTGACTTGCAGTGTGTATCCCAGTGTTCTGTCTAATTTAGTCAATGGATATTTGTTTGTTTTGTATGATGTGACAGGCACAGTTCTAGCCTCTGAGGAGATTGCTTTGCTGTCATTATACAGGGTGTCCTCAATGTTGTCATACGTAAGAAAAATTTAAAAACTCACATTATAGTTTACATTTTAAAATTTTTATGTGTATTTCTATAACAACATGCAGAAAAATATTTTGTAAATAAAGGTATATTTTGCTATAATTTTCCATTTTCCCTGTGTATGTATACATGGCAATCTATATATGGGTCTATAGTTAGAGCATTTTTTTTTTTTT